TGACTTTGTTGATATCAGTTTGTTTTGCACGTGTGCTTTTATTTTGTTTTGGCTTATTCTAGACATGTTTGTTTGTTACATTTCTTTTCCTCTTTCTTTTGTATATATTTATTTGCTGATCAAAGATTTCTTTCTTCTCTTTGTTGTATCTATTCTGAGGACTTTTGTGAAAGGGGCTAGTCTTCTAATCAGTTTTTTAAAATTTAACTAGAGCACATTCTAGGAGTGTTGAGCAGGCGGTGCCTGCTTATTACTCATACTGTCTAATCTTCTTAAAATTTCTTTAAGAATTACTTGATGCTCATCAATTCTGTTTATAATATTTGAGTTTACTTTTTGGTTCTCTTGGTTATCTTTGTGTTTTTCTCTTATATTTGAATTATCTCTTTCTTGCTTTTCTACATTTTCTTCCTTCTTGTTATATGATGTTTCTCTCAAATTTCTTTTTATAAAGGCTGCTTTTGGTTGTTGAGATCTTCCTCTCCATGTATCTCTTTCTGTGCTTTGTAAGCAGTTACTATATCTGCACTCCTGCTCCCAGTTTAATAGTCAGTTATTGTACCTTACTGGCTTACTAGTTGCTTTTTCCAAATCTAACTTATTTTCAAAAGTAATAATTGCTGCTTGCTTCATTCAGCCATTTCTTTTTCTTAGAATATATACTGCCTTTGCTCCTCTTTCTTTAATGCAGCCTAATAGTAATGTTTCTGAAGCTCCTTCTGAAATGCCTTCTAGTTTTATGATGTGCCTAAAGCGGCTGCTCATTTCTTCTCTATTTTTTTTACTTTTAGAAACCTGTGCTAACCTTCTATTTTCTAATGATAGAACCCAGAGCAGCTTGTAATCTTTTATATTAAATCCTAGCTTTACTTCTGCTATCGTTCTGAATTCTGTTCTTTTAATCTTGATGCCTTCTAGTTTACCAAATTTTTTGCACATATACTGAACTTCTTTTGTGCTAATTGATTTTGGTTGATCCCAAATAGTAATATATCTGATGCATTCTGTTTTGCTTCCTTTATAATGTTTTTCTTTTTTTTCAGTTTCTTCAAAAGGGTCTCTTTTTCTCGAGGCTTGTGAATCTTCTTCTTGTCACCTGCTTCTCTCTTTTTTATAATTATTCTCTTTGCTTCTTCAGATAGGTTTCTGTTCTTCACTATTCAAATCTAGAATGAGCCAGAGCTAGTCTCCTTCTTTCTTCTCGATTCTTTTGATTATATTCGTTCTGCTATATTCACAATTGAACTCTACTTCTATTTAACTATTTCTATTTCTGAATACCTTTTGTATTGATTTCATATGTTTGTCTTTGCTTAAGAGTAGAGGGTATATAGATCATTTCTATTAATAAACTAGTGACCAAAATATTTTTTACTGCGGAATCAAAAGTTGCTACATATAAAAATTAATTTTATACTATGTAAATTGATATTTGTATATTAAGTAAAATTGTTTACAACAAAAAATTACTTATATTCTGAGAAGTTTGCAACAAAAAATTAAAATTTGATAAAGTTTGTATAGTACCAACATTTGCGGGAGTGGAGTCTATTACTGCGGAGGCAATCACAATTGGCCAATCAAATCATGTGCTTACAATAAGCAAAATAGGGTTGCAAAGATAAAATAATCATATCTTATGAAATACCTGGTCAATTTTAATAATTCTACTATCATTAAAATCAGAAATGTCTTCTCTACAATTTTATTTAAAAATTCAAAAAGATTTACTTAATAAAATTTGCTTTAAAATTAAATATAATAATTTTGACAATTGGTTTAATAATAAAAATAATCTACATACCCTCTACTTTTAAGATACCTTCTAAGTTTGCGATTCTTTTTTTAGGTATATTCTTTGGTACTTTGCATGCATATGCTTTTGCAACAAATAACTTATCACCTTCACATGTTCTGTTATTTGGTAACCATATACTGCATTCTATTGGGTCGCATGCTATCTTTGCTAACAAGTCTTGTTAGTCTTTTTTTTCTATTTCTTGTATCTTTTTTTTAATGCTTTTAATTTCATCTCTCGCAATGCTTTCTATTGGTGCTTCTTTGTCTTTTTTAACTTTTTTCATTTCAATTCTTTTCTCTTTAAGCCAGTCATATGAACTTGTACCTAAGTCTGAAGTTAATATAATTTCTGTTTGTTCGTCTCTCTTTCTCTTACATTCAGTTTGTTGTATTGGTTCTTCTGCATTTCTTTCTTTCGATTCTATCTTTTTTCCTGATTCTTCTTCTTATCTTCTTTTTTTCAATTCTTCTACTTGTATATTTTCTTCTTTTTTTATTTTCATAATTCTTTTTATTTTGTTAATTCTTTTTTCGATTTCTTCTTTGCTTATTTCGGCCATATATTCAATTGACTTTGGGTTTTGGCTTACCCATCTGGCCTTAATTGCCTACTTTTCTATTTGGCCTTCTTCTATTCTTCTGCATTTAGCTTTGTTTAATGCTGTACAAAATCTTCTGTATGCAATTAATTCTGAGTTTGTAATTTTGTCTATGTCTTTTATCGTTAAGCTTCTTGCTATATATTCTATATCATTTGGTGCATTAACTGAAACTTCCTTAGTGAGTTTTTCTAGTTGTGTATCCATTATTATACATACCACCGAAATAGATTTTCAAAAAACTCCTATTTCGTCTCCATTAGAGAAATTTGGAAGTATTTATATGCAATAACAAATCTAATTTAGGTAGTTATGTTCTTTATAATTTCGTTTCTTCAAAAAAAGTGTCAAAAAATTTTGTCTTTTAAGTAAAATAGGTCAAAAACAATTTCGTCTTCAAATTTTAATTTCGTATCCTGAAACTTAAAATAATTTCGTCAGCATGTATATCTATCATGTATTTTAATGCTGCTGCAAATCTGCTCTTTATGAAGTCGTAAAAGATCATTTTTGCCATATTGTAATATCTATTAATTTTATTGATAATTTAACTATTCTTGTATTGTCTAATATTTTAATTTAATTTTCTAGAAGATTCTATTAACAATTCTATTTGTTCTTTATACATGACTTTGTTGATATCAGTTTGTTTTGCACGTGTGCTTTTATTTTGTTTTGGCTTATTCTAGACATGTTTGTTTGTTTACATATCTGTGTAATTATTGATGATCTGTGTTCAGGGTCAGACCGATATCCTCTTTTTTCCAAAATTTCTTTGCAAAATTTTGTTTTTCTTGAATAGCTTGCTTCGTACAAGTTTTTCTTTGCTTTTTTCTAAGCTTACTAACTGTTATTTTTGTTGCTCTTTCTTTTTTGTTAGAGTTACTTGCAATGTTTTCTATAGCTTTTGTTGAGTTTTTATCAATTTTGCTTCTGTTTATTTTTGTATTTAAGTGATCATCAGGAAGAGTTAACTAAATATTTTGATTATATATGAAAATTATTGTGAGAGCTAATGCTGAAATCGGATGATGCTGAAAATCATGTAATCTGTAATGAAGATTACAACAACTTTAATATGAGATCAAATTAGGTGCATCAATATTGTCAAATAATGTGTATCAAATACAAGTTGAAAAACCTCTCTAAATGCACTCCTCAGAACTATAAACTATATACTTTTAAAGGATATGTGTTTATAAAACAAAAAATATAGTATTATAATAAGCTTGAACACCGAACTATACAATATACTTAAAGAGACATTACATAAAGAGTGTATTTATTGGAAATACATCAGTATAAATAAAGTTCATGATACCATATACCCTGCTGTTAAAATTAGTATAGCATCCAAATAACCTACTAAATAAAACTAACATTCTATATAGAAGCTTGCTATTTATACCACTATTCATTATTGCTCAAAATACCTCCTAAAAATTAACACCACCAGAAAAACAACACCAGTAAGAGAGAACCCAAATACTGATACCAGCAAATGTTGAAGTAACGGCACCAGAAAACGATAACACCAGCTAGAAGAAGAATCAAACCACCAACACCGATATAACAATGCGACAGCACTAGCAGAAGGAAGAGCAAAGACACTAACGTCAGTAAACAATAACGTGACAATACCAACGAACGACAGCACCAGATACCAATACTATAAAAAAAAGGTTAGTACGCAATAAAGAGATGCACTAAAAAAAAACTTATCTTTTATGTAAGTGCTATCTGTATAACCATATTTGAAAAAAATAAAAAAAAACTGTAAAAACATATTGTCTACATTTCTGTTATATTTAAATATCTAAGATGCATGCACAGAGGTGTGTTGCACTCCAAACTTGGCTTTTAATAGTAGTGTTCAGACTTACATAATTTCAGAATTTTTTATTGATTAAATAATGAAAAATCCTGAAATCGCATAAGTCTGGACACTCTATTTGATAAATTCAGACCAGACTTTCTACAACCCTTGCAAGTCATAAAAAAAAAAAAGTGTTCTAATAAACTAGTAGTACTGATTCTAAGGCTAAACTCCTACAAAAAATTGTTCAAAACGTGCTTTTTAGCCAATTAGATTGAAAGATCAGGTGAAAATCATGAATTTTTTTTTTTTAAAAAATACAGCCAATAACTTGAGATTTTGTTTATTAAATCGTCTTCTGTATTCTAACAAAAAGAATTTTCTGCAAATTTTGGTATATTTAATATTAGGAATTGGAATCGTCTAAAATTTTTTTTAATCGTTTAATCGTTTAATCATTTAACTGTTTAACTTGGCTAGCATTAAGATAATTTCAGCCCACGACCAACATAATTCTACTTAGAATTATGGAGCAAGTTTTAAATAGTTAAACAGTTCTAATCTCTACCCAATGCTCTTTCTTGATCCTAATTCTAACCCTAAAGATGATTATTTAAAAATTCTGGCTAAAATCTAAACGTTGCACAATCAAAGTTGGAATGCAATTCACATTTGTACGTACATCATAGATATTTAAATAAGTGCTTAAGAGAAAAAACATGAAAGTAAAAATTTGTTTCTTTAACTACATATACAGAACACAAATCGTATGTGATTAAGCAATATCACAATTCTTCAGAGGAGTAAATTTTTATTTACAGATTTTCTTTCTTAAGCACTCATATCTAAAAATATAATTTCATGCTTATTTTCATCTATACTAATAAAATTTTAATATGTTTTTCTGCTTTTTGCACACTAGTTATTCTTCAATTTTAGGTACTTGTGATCTAGAGATCATCGATTAATCTATTTAAGCCACTATATCTGTTCACTTTTGTAATTTTATTGAATACAATAAATAGACTAATTACTTTTAATATACTTCTAATTTCTCTAAACTAATAAATAAAATTTTTTATAGAAAAAGCATTATTTTATTTAAAAATTTTAAAATGTAAAATTTAAAAATTAAAAAAAAAAATTAAATTTAAAAATTTAAATTTTTAAATTTTAAATTTATAAAATTTAAAAATTTTAAATTTATAAAAAAGAAAAAATTCTATTGTATAACTTTAACTCTTTTTATAGGGAGTAATATATTCTTGTTATTTACTTCAACGATTGCTGTATAGTTATTGGAAGCTAATTGTTTAAATATATTCTCTTGTGAGAATGTTGGTTGTAGTTTTCATTTTCAGGTTTGGAGATTTGTGTCATGATTTGGTGTAATGATAACCTTAGTATCTGGTTCAATTGTATTATTTGGCGACTTTTTTCGATGAATACTTCCATATTGACACATTTTTCACAATATTTTTCTAATGCATCATTTACTAATTATTGAATTTTTAATATTCGCAAAACACATTCTTCAATAGCTTTTGCTACTGCTTCTGCTGTTGATTCTGCTGCTGCTTCTGCCATTGCTGCTTCTGCCATTGCTGATTCTGCTGTTGCTGCATCTGCCGTTGCTGCATCTGTTGTTGTTGCTTCTGCTATTGTTTCTGCTGTTGCTGCATCTGCTATTGTTTCTGCTTCTGCCATTGCTGCTTCTGTTATCACTTCTGCTACTACTTCTGCTACTGTTTCTGTTGTTGTTTCTAACTGAAAAATGCTAGGTATATCATAAACACTATGCATTTTTCATTCAAACATAATCTTGTGTGGCATATAACCATATGCTCTATGAACTAATAAATTATATGATATAATGAATATATCTAAAACGTTAATCTAGTTTTTTTGTTGTAATTGTTTGTTATCATCCCACAACAATTTTGTAAACCTACAGCCAATGGTTTGGTTAAGGCATTCTACTTGTTTTTGGGTTTGCAGATGGTGGGGGCACCCATGTTTTATTGTAATATTTAACATTTCACATTTTGGGTAACAATTTGTCCTACAAACTCTTTAATATTATCACTTTGCATAATAGCTGGTGGCCCAAAAATTTTAAAAATGTCTTTAACAAGGTGCATCACGACAGTATCATTTTCTTTATTTTTCATAGAAATTGTGATCAAATACTTAGAAAAAATACACATACATGTAAGCAACTATACAAATCTATAATTTACTTTGGCAACCTCTTGAAAATCAATAAGATCAATTTGGATATAATATCACGGTGCTATTGAAACAACTGATTTCATATCTATTTTTTCTTTAATCGAACTATTAATGGAATAAGTAAACATTTGTTGATATATTCCTGTACATTTTGTTGCGTAATGCCGATGTGCTTTTCCAAAAGCACAACAAATGTCTTATAGTAATTATGATGATTAGCTTTATTATAAAAATAATCTAACAATAAAATTCATAACTCATTATCATAAGGGGGAACTATATGACACTTTTCAGATTTGACTTCACTATTTTTGTAAACAACTGACAGGTAAAGAACCTCATTTTTGTCGACCTCGAATTTTTTGCAGCACCTTATAAAATTATATTTATCTACAGAGTTAAGAAAATTTGAAGTAATAGTCTTGGATTGGAGATATTCTACAATCAACTGATATTCAGCTAGTGTTTTAGGAATTTTCAGAATCGCGGGCATAACTAATAGAAATAAAAAAAATTTTTTAAAAAAAATTTTTATTTATAAAAAATTGGTTTGTTTTGATCATACATCAACCAATCATATTTCAAAATTAGATATAATGTAAAAAATCAATACCGGTTATCCAGAATTTTTTCAGGCTAAAGCAAGAGGTAGCTTTTATTCAGGACTAATTTTACTATTAAAACATAATAACCTTTTTCAAATTCTTAAATCCAAAATCGTGGGGTAATTTTATTCAATGGTAGCTTTTATTTGATAATATACAGTATTTTCATATTACACCTGATCTTGGATTTAATTGGCTACGCAGAATTTCTCATATTTAATTTATTGTCAATCATCATGTGAGTGAAAGAAATGAAAAAAAACCAACATTTTTAAAAACCCAAAACAAAAACTAAATTAGAATTTGGGGGCAATAGAGAAGGATGTTCATGGGTAAATCCGTGGCCACGATGCACTTCCGTTCTCTAATCCATATTACTCTAATAACAAACGATAAGTATAACTTATTTAAAAAAACTAGATTATGATAAAAGACTACTTTGTACCTTGTTTTAATACTTTACGCAATTCAAGATCCATGCTGTGGATTATAATGGTTAAGCCAACTTTTTAAAACATTGCAATGCATTTTGTACTAATATCAATTTTGGTTCCTTGTTAATTATGCAAAAAAGTAGCCACGATTCTAACAAAGCTAAACTGATCATGAATTAACCCACCAACCTTTTTTTTTTTTTCTAGGATTTGGGGTAACGACAACAGAGAAGAATGTTCATAGTTAAACCTGCAGCTACAATGCACTTTTGTTCTCTGATCCATATTAACCTAATAATAAACGATAAGTATGACCCTATTTAAAAAACAAGATTATGATAAGAGACTAACCTTGTTTTAATACTTTATGCAATTCAAGACCCATGCTGTATATTTTAATGGTTAAGCCAACTTTTTAGAACATCACAACACATTTTGTGCCATTATCACTTTTGGTTAGTTTCCTGTTAATAGTGTAAAAAAAAAATAAGCCTTAATTCAAACAGATCACAAATCAACCTAACTTTTTTTTTTTTTTTTTCCAGAATTTGGAGTGATAGCAAGAGAAGAATGTTCATGAGTAAACCTGTGGCTACGATGTGCTTCCATTCTCTTATTTATATTATTCTAATAACAAATAATAAGTATGACTTTATTTAAAAAAACTAGATTATAATAAGAAACTAACCTTCTTTTATACTCCATACAATTCAAGACCCATACTATGCA